TGCTCAGCCTTCTTAATCGACCCTCTGAGCTCGCATACACGCTCAGGTTCGAATACTCCATGTATCACATTGATTACTCCTTGAGGTGGGGCGTCAATTGACATTCCATTGGGTTTATTGTGGTCCTGGGGGGCTAGTTGCGTCCTTCCTTCAATGTATTTATCCAGGTGACCAGCTGCCACCAACTCCTCCAGGTGCTGTCTTAATGGCATGCAATTTTTAGTACGGTGCCCCTTTTCTTTGTGGAAGGTGCATCGTGATCTTTCGTCGTAGTCTTTCTATGCTTCTCCTAGCTTAGCTGGCCATCTGATGAAAGGCTCATCGCATATTTCGCTCAGAATCCGATAGATCGGTTTCTTGAATACCGTGGTTATGGCAGTGCGGATTCTCAACCATCTTTTATCCTGGTCTTCTCCGTTGTCTCGCTTGCCTCGTCCGTTTTTGTTCGGACGTTCTACCGCGTTGATCTTTGCTGTGGTCTTTTTATCTGGTACTGCGGTCGTGCCAGATTTTGTTTTGGCACAGGCGCCATCCTCTTCCACTCTGATGTGCTGATGCACTCTTTCGATCAAGGACTCTATGGTGAGGGGCGATGTCATGGTGATTGAGTCCCTTAGTCTGTTTCCGACTGGAAGGCCTCTTTTGTACTGTGCAATGGTGAGATTGGTAGGGCAGTCCCCAATCTGGTTGAATGTCTCCCAGTAGCGACTATTGTAGGATCTTAGTGTCTCCTTTTCGCCCATATCAATGGAGAGTAACTGGTCAATCTCCACTGGGGTTTTGGTGTTCGTTCTGAACCTCGTGACGAATGCCTCCGCCAACTGTGCCCAGGAGGCTATGCTGCCTTCTGAAAGTTTTTCGAACCAAGTCAAGCCCAGGTCACCAAGGCTTGATGGGAAGAGGATGTACATCAAGGCCTCGATTCGTCGATATACGGCCATAACCTGGCGGAAGTGGCTTAGGTGTATGTATGGGTCCGTCTTCCCCTCGTACGTGATGAATTTGGGTTGAAGGAAACCTAAAGGAAGGGACGCGTTTTCAATTGCTGGAACGAACGGCGAGGTCTGCAGCCTTGCAAATGCTTTGTCCGTTAGTTCGTAGGCAGGGCGTGGCAACGACATTCCGACCTCGACGCTTCCATACGTCCGAGGAGCCAACCGCTGAAGGGCAGATACCCTGCGAGGGTTGCACGCCCTAGTATCCTCTTTCCATTGTGCCTTTTCTTCCAACATGTTCTGTAAATCGGACGATCTTGGCAACTCCGTCTGCCTGGATGATGTCTGGTACGAACGCGAGGGTCAATAGGTACTTCCCTCCGTGTAAGACCTTAACGATCTTGTTCTCTCAGACCTAGAGAAACGAGTTCTGGAGGTTCTGGATTGAGTATCGTCTGTCCTGAGGCTTCTACTCTCTGCTTGTGATGGTGTGGAATGCCTTCCACGGTCTTCTGAGTGGCGAGGGGGCGTCTTGCTTTTGTGCCCCTCTCCTGTCGCCACTTCTTTTCCTTTCATCTGGCGCTTCTTGGCCTCCATATCCGCCGCCATCTTCCTTATTAATTCATCTTGCTCCTTCACGCGGTCCTCCAGAACTTGAGGATCAATCCTCTGCCTTTGTCTGTCAGGACTTCGTGAACGAGAGTGACGGGGGCTGTTAGTCCGCCTCCTCCCCCTTGTATCCCTCTTGGGATTTTGCTGCTGTGGCTCCAAGTCTGCCATGAGAGGAATAGAAGGTAAGCCTTTACGCCTTGCACTCCCCTCTGGTGTTTGTCCGTCGATGGTGGACTGCGGCAAATCTTCGTTGTGCGCCATTGTTTCTAAAGAGGAAAAGCTTGATCAAGAGGTTTTGTTCTAGTCTGACGATTCCCACAGACGGCGCCAATTGTACGGGAAAGAAATACACATTCTCGTATAATCCTGTTGATCAAGTCTGCGATCCTCCAAACGTCGTCGCTTTACTTCCTGAAAACACAAACGTGAGCTAGCCGGCGGGTGTTTGCTGGAAACCCCTCCGATGCCTAAGTCAGCAAAATAGACGAGTAGACAAAAGCTCTGTGTATTTAGGAATCAAAGTTGTGTTACCTCTCCATAGGTGATGTTTGTGAGCTTTTATAGGTTCCGTGTGGCACAATCTAAGTAGGACTCTTACTCCTCCCTGTAGAGTCCTCCTAGGATTCATACTCCTGAAAGATAATGCCTATCCTTCAACACCCCCTCACTGTTTAAACCAAGTGAGATGGTTTTACCATGGTCGGACTCCAATGTGGCCGAGGTACGCATGGCTATGCTTAGCCGTAGAACAGACCGAACTATCCTTAGTTCGGTTCATTCTTTTACTGCCCTTACCTCAGTTCCTCCTGTACAAACCGTGGTAAGTCTAAACCAAACTAACTTTTAGCAAGGATTAGACCGAGCTAACCGTACTGCGCCATAACCGGTATAAGTTTTAGTATGGTGACCGAGCTAACCTCCTCGGGACCGGAGTGACTCTACACCTCTCTTGGGCCGGAGTAACTTTACACCTCTCTTGGGCCGGAGTAATTTCATGGCCTTTTTACTCAGCCCTTCGCACTGTGGTCCATAACGGCCCATTACCCAGCTCGGCCCAATTTTCATATAAATTACCCTCTCAGATATAATATTTTGGTTTATGATAATATTGTCCATTTGCCCAATCCAAATCAAGAACAATGTGTATTTTTTTTTTCCAATTTCCAACTAAGGGTTAGATTGTTGAGTATAGCATGCAAAGCTTACTTGTTATGTACCTCCCATTTTGTGAAGACAAATATTCTTTCTAATGAGCGATAGTCTAGTTTGTGGTATTCAATGTTGGAATTTATTTTTAATTTTTTGGTTTTATTATTGAAAATGCCATGTTCATAAAATAATAATAATAATAATAAAAAGAGGCTCATTTGTAGTCGGTAGCAGACTATGCACACATTCAACATGTGATTATGCACATAAAAAATTAGAAATTAGCAAAAAAAGGGTTAAATGGTACTGCTCATGTCAATTCTATCATCGTTTTATCATCAATAAAATCTTTTCTTTTGCAGATAAAAAAAAACTATGGCTCCATGTTTTCTTTGGATACACCATTTTTTTTCTTTGATCGACGAAATGAAAAACTTCATTACTAAAACTAGACAAACTTACGAGGGGCTAAAACTGCATCATAGAGACCCGAATTATCCCAACTATGTACGAACTTGGCCTCTACGTATGAATTGTAGAATGAATTATTGATAAACTGGGTTCCATTTAAAATAAAAAATAAAAATTGACCGCTATGATTTCAACTTATTTGATATACAGTGATCATGACTTTGGCATTAGATATGCTGAGGTGGTACAATAATAGGGGATAAATCACTTCAAATTGTTCTCTGTCTTCCATTTTTTAACTTAGTAATTTGGCATTATTATTATTATTAGCAAAAAAAAAAAAATTATTGATGAAAAAAGTACAAGAAGCATTACAGCAAAACTAGTCGATCCCAAAAAACAAACCCAATCATAGGTTGACAACATCAATAATGTGGCAGCATAATTAATTTGAGATCCATATTTTTAAAATATATGATAATTTTGATCAAAAATCAATTTTTGGCTGCGAAATTAATTTAACTTCATTTATTTTAAATAAATCTATCCATTTCAATAGACAATCATTTTTTTGGCAACGAAGTTAATTCAAGGTGCATTAGCTTTAAATATATGTGTCCATTTCAATTGGCAATTATTTTTTGACTGTGGAGTTAATTGGAGTTCCGTTTGTTTTAAATATGTATGTCCATTTTGATCAACAATCATTTTTTGCTGGCGAGATGAATTCGAGGTCAAATTTTTTTAAATACATATGTCCATTTCGATCAACAATCATTTTTGGCGCCGCCATTTATTTTTATTAGCAAAAGAAAGAGACTTTATTAGTTTCAGATCCATTTTGTTTTTAAATATATGTCCATTTTGATTGGCAATCATTTTTGGGTGACAGAGTTAATTTGAGGTCCGTTTATTTTAAATACATATTTCCATTTTGATGGGCAATCATGTTTTGGCCACTCAAGGTGTTTGCAATGGGCAATTCATCTCTTTAAACTTTAGCTTACGTTTAAGAACACTAGTGGCTAGTGCTTTATAAAATTTGAGGAAAATTAGTCTTCCATATTGCAGCCCTTTGAACTTGTCTTTGGTAATAGAAGTTAAAAATTACCCATTCCAAAACATAAGAAATGAAGCAGCTACAATGGCTGAAAATTTTGAAAATTTAGGTGAAATACTAACTCTTGAATAAAATATTTTAGAGGTGCCAAGAATTAGCCAACTTGGTAAGTTAACGCAAGTATATATGTGTTGGAGTACTAATAAATGCCTCATTAAATGTCATTTATGGAGATTACACTCATACTTATCTTACATTTTGGAAGTATATATAATCTACACTAGATACTTGTAATCATCTCATATGAGGTGAATTTCACACCCAAATGTAAGAGAGTTGTGTTTGATTCCGTGAATAATTTTTTGTGTAAGTAGAAGCGCTGTTTATAAAGATCATTCTTGTCTTGGATTTTGAAAGTATATATAGGCTCGAGTTGGCGGTGTTCTTTTTAAGTTAAAAGTTAATAATCAGAAAGCAGAAATTAAAAATACCTTCTCCTAATTTTCAAACAATTAGTTTTTTTTTCCAGTTTATTTATATTATTTCTGCCCAATAAGCTATGAGCAGAAGTTGTGCTAAACAGTCTGACATAGACTCCCAAATTAAAATAAGTTATAATCACCTCCTAGGAGCAATAACAAATAGCCTAATAATCTAGAATAGATTCTTGTAATCTGGAATAAATGTGGCCAATAAAGTAACACTCCATGGGAAAATCTACTTAACAAAGTAAGGCGTCGCTTGTTTTGGAGTGTAATGGATGGGAGGAAATTAGAATAGAGGTGGGGTTATTTAGTGTTGTATTTATTTGTAGAGTTGAGGAAGGGATTAAGATGGATGAGGGGATTAAGATGGAGGTTGGAAGGAGGATTGGGATGGAGGAGGTGGAAATGGTATTAGTAAAATAGTGAGAGGATTAGAAATTTTTTTATTTTTTACATATTGGAATTTTTTTTTAAACATTAATGTTTAACTTTTTTATATTTTTTTATTTGTTTTATTATTTTATATAAAAATAATTTAACAATTCATACACTAACAACTATCATCAAAACAAATACAAATTTACTTAGTCCCCTCACTATCAATCCCCTCACTAACAATTCCCTCACTATTAATCCTCTCACTATAAATTCCTTCCATTCTGGGGCCTAAATTTGAGAAGTTTAATTTGGATAGTAAAGCATAGCATCCTTATCATGGATTTGGGTGAATATTTGAAATAACAGCAATACTACATTTACTTAATATCTTACTAGCAATCTTTCTAAAAATATACATGTCAAATATCATTACATGTTTAAATATCATTATTTTTTTGACAACTAATTACATTTGGCCTCTTGTATTTTTAGTAAGATTGTTAGTATGTATAGAATTATTCTTGAAAAATAAACAGTTATGATATTAAAAATCTACACTAAATTTCTTGCCCAAAATTACATACATATTGTTAACCTGTTAACAAGTCCTAAATTTCAAATAACAATAAATAAATAAAAAAGACCCAAATTTTCAAATCCATTTCTTACCTCATTACAAGAATTAACACTTTTACTGACCAAAAAATTGGTCGCTAAAAGCCCATTTTTAGTCGGCAAAAGTCATCCGCGACCAATTTTTTTGGTCGTTACTTTGGTCGCCAATTGAGGGTCGGCAAAAGTAATTCGCGACCAAAATTTTGGTTGATCGGGAAAAGTTGAATTTGCCGACTAAATTGTTGGTCGCTAAATATATCATTACTGCGACTAATCCATTTTGTCGCTAAAACATTTTGGTCGCGAAAAATGATATTTTGCCGACCATATGTCTTAGTCGCCAATTGTCACATTCCACGACCAAAAAAATTAGTCACCAAAAGTCGAGGAATCACCGACTAACAATGTAGTCGCCAAAAAGTAAAAAATTACCAACCAATGATTTTAGTCGCAAAAGTGTAGAATTTGCCGACTAATTTTTTAGTCGCCAAATCTCTTTTTTTTTCTTTTTTTTTTTTTTTGGAGAACAATCAGTTTTTGTTTATAAAACTTCAATCCAATATTAAGCAGAAAAGGAAGCAAGGGTATTCCATGGTATTCCATTCTATCCAACAAACATTCAGACCTTGTATAAACATGAATTACACCTCCTATTTCAGACCTTGGCCATGAAATAAACCATGCACCTAAATCCAATCAAGTTAATTGATTTTGACGAAAATGTGATGAAAGAAATGGAGTAGTTCATATCAAATCAAGTTTTTACTCAAATTAGATGAAGGAATTGGTCAAGTGTTGGAGATGCTCTCAGTAGAGAAAGAAAAGAAAAGAAAAAAAACTATGGAAATAGCTAGTTATGGCTTCACTACCATGGTTCAAATAACAAACAAAGCATATACAGCCTGGAAATCATATCAACACAAAGTAAAAATGTTCTATTTCAAGTGCCAAAAGAATCAATTAACATATATAATCATATGTAATACACAATTATGCATATATATATATATGTTCTTCATTCGTCCATTTTTGCGTTCCCTACAGAACTCCAGATACTGAAACCAGAGCTCAATATCGCCCTTAAATCGGTTCGTCGGGAGCCGATAAATCTCCAGAATCCTTGATGCTCCAGCGAAATCGGAAACTGATTTCTTTATCTTCTTGTTCTGCTTCTTCAGCTCTCGAGCCACAGCCTTCTTGCGGAGTATCCGAAGAGCTTCAAGCTGCTTCTCATAGTCTATGTCGGCTATGAAGTCCTTCTTGAGAGGGCTTGGACACTTGAGCCTGTACTCGAACTTCCTTCTCTGCTTCACAATCTCTGCAATCCCGCGTTGCGAGAAAAGTCCTTGGCGCTAGAGGTCGTCGAGCTCGTCCACCATGCGCTCGAGCTTGTACTGAACCGCGTCCGCCATTGTTAGAGAGAGAGAGAGACAGAGAGAGAGAGAGAAGAAGAAGAAGAAGAGTGGTAGGGCTAGTGATATTGGATTTAGAGGTTATGTATCTGATAGGGCCAACAAAAAAAAAAATTATAAACAGAAAAACCATTCACCTAAAGGAAGTGGAGTCCCGCGCTCTCTTTCTTGTTTCAAAATTTATGTTTTGGCGGAAATTTTCAAAATTTAAGTGAAGTCCCACGCTTTGCATAGTTGAAAAGCACAAATACAGATTTTATTTTATTTTTAAACAAGAAAAATATTTTTTATTGATGTTCTTTATTTTTAAATACAGATTAGTCTTTGTTCTATTGATGTTCTTTACAGATTAGTCTTTATTTTTTATTGATGTTCTATTTTATTTTTAAATACAAATTAGTCTTTTATTGATGTTCTTTATTTTTAAAAGCACAAATACAGATTAGTCTTTGTTCTATTTTTTATTGATTTTATTTTTAAGCACAAATACAAATATTTTTTTATTGAAAAGCACAAATATTTTTTTAAAATAAGTTTTTTGGCGACCAAAATTTTGGTCGCCAAAAGATAAAAAATAATTTTTTATTTTTCATTCGGCGACTACATTGTTTCAGTAGCCAAAACTCAATATACGGCGACCAAAATTTTGGTTGCCAATTCCACAACCAACTTATTTTTGATCTTCCACGCCCAACTTATTTTTTGGTTGCCAAAATGTGACATTCTGCAACCAAATTTATAGTTGGTCGCCAAAATCATACCACTTTCCGCGACCAACTCATTTTTTGGTCGCCAAAATATGACCTTCTGTGACCAACTCATTTTTTTTTTTTTTGATCGGCAAAGAAAATCTTTACTGATGAAAGTATGCAAAAAGGATACAGGACATCAATAAAGAGGAGCTTGGAGCTAACTGAAGCTCCAAGCGCCAGTTGGTGAGAAACCAACAACAAAACAAAAAAGAAACAAAAGAGAAGCATAACAGACTAACTAAGCTTTACCCAAGCTACACAGCAGAGAAGCATTATAGACTACAGAACAGCATATTTGCACTGAGAAGAAACACCAAAAACTGAGCAAAACTCCTACAACAACTGGGCTTGAAACACCAATCCACACTACTAACAATTTAGAGCAACATGAACCTAAGAACTTGAATTATGTTCAAAGGCTAAACATTGCCACTGATGTAGCATATGCATTGGATTATCTTCATCGCCATTGTGAAATGGCTTTTATTCATTGTGACTTAAAGCCAAGTAATATTCTTCTTGACGGTGATTTGTGTGCCCATGTTAGTGATTTTGGCTTGACAAAGATTTTTTCAACAACCAATGAAATTTCTATTCATCAGCAATCAAGTTCGATTGGGATCAGAGGAACAATTGGCTATGTTGCCCCAAGTAATTGTTTATTGCTTCTTACGTTGAAATTGATTAAGAAATACTATTTAGTTACATTATATGATTATCTTGCGGTGAACTAAAAACCAATTACGAGATTAGAGATGACTTTCCTTGACTTTGCCTTATTGTTTGTATAGCTACCACAACAAATTAAATCAACCATTATCCTACCCCTATGGTATTTGAACGTAGATTTTAACCGTTGAGATAATTTTATCTTTTGAAATGCTGGACTTTTTTTTTTTTTTTTCAACAAAAGAAATACAACTTACTAGTTCAACAATCATACCAAAATTTAAAATTTTGGGCATTTTTTTCACCATTTCATATTGCAGAGTATGGCATGGGTGAGGAGGTATCAACACAAGGTGATATGTATAGTTATGGAATGTTACTGCTAGAAATGTCCACAGGAAAAAGACCAACCAGTAACATGTTTATAGGTAATGTAAACCTCCATAGCTATGTAAAAATGTGTCTTTTGGAGCAAGTAATGAAGATCATTGATCCGCAAATCATATTGGAAATGGAAGAGGAGCCAAGTAGGAGCATGCAAAGTAGTACAACTAACATTTCGAAACTAAAGGCTTGCCTAGTACCAGTCTTCCAAATTGGAGTTTTATGTTCTGCTGAAATGCCAAGTGAAAGAATGAGTGTGAAAGATGTTCTCAAAGAACAACACAAGCTTAGAAACATATTTCTTGGGATTAGAGGACAAAGGCATGAGGATAGATGAAGAAATGATTCTTAAATAAAGCCACGTATATATGTTATTTTGATGTTGAAGAATTTTTTTTCCCTCACTTTTCCTCTCCCCCCTTAGTTTTCTTTTCTCAAACTATAATTTTAAGCTAGGAAAAGCATGAAAGTGGTTGTACTTGTTGTATTGTCATCAAATATTTATAACTAGTTCAGGTCTCTATATGTTACATATATGCTTTTTATATGTATTTTGGTTTATGCTCTCAATCATCAAAAACTCAACAAAATCCCCGAATCATACACCCACAAATTAACACGAATATGTATGCATATGTAGATTAGAGATACAAAATTGCCAATGAATTGAGGGAAAATCAAATCGATAGAAAAATATAAAAAAAATGGAGGAAGTGGAGACTATCTCAGATTGTTCATCGGTTACATTCAAAGACTGAAAGACTCTACGGTTTGTGGCCGCGAATAAGAGGAGGAGAAAGAGTAATGCTGCATCTCACTAATTTTGGACTTCCAAAATCAACCCTAGTAATATGGCAAGCATTTGTTAGATAATTTTTAAGATTTAATGGGTTCTTAAGTGATGTGACTTATTACACATTACTTGTGGTTAGTTTAGGGGTCCAAAATTGATTATTCAAAGCGTTTTCCAAATTACAAATAGAAGAGTGCAGTTGCATTATAGTCCCCTGCAGCTATGGACTTTCAAGACAAGAGTGCAGTTGCATTATAGTCCCCTGCAGCTATGGACTTTCAAGACAAGAGTGCAGTTGCATTATAGTCCCCTGCAGCTATGGACTTTCAAGACAAGAGTGCAGTTGCATTATAGTCCCCTGCAGCTATGGACTTTCAAGACAAGAGTGCAGTTGCTTTATAGTCCCCTGCAGCTAAGGACTTTGAAGACAAGAGTGCAGTTGCATTATAGTCCCCTGCAGCTATGGACTTTCAAGACAAGAGTGCAGTTGCTTTATAGTCCCCTGCAGCTAAGGACTTTGAAGACAAGAGTGCAGTTGCATTATAGTCCCCTGCAGCTATGGACTTTCAAGACAAGAGTGCAGTTGCTTTATAGTCCCCTGCAGCTAAGGACTTTCAAGACAAGAGTGCAGTTGCATTATAGTCCCCTGCAGCTATGGACTTTCAAGACAAGAGTGCAGTTGCATTATAGTCCCCTGCAGCTATGGACTTTCAAGACAAGAGTGCAGTTGCATTATAGTCCCCTGCAGCTATGGACTTTCAAGACAAGAGTGCAGTTGCATTATAGTCCCCTGCAGCTATGGACTTTCAAGACAAGAGTGCAGTTGCATTATAGTCCCCTGCAGCTATGGACTTTCAAGACAAGAGTGCAGTTGCTTTATAGTCCCCTGCAGCTAAGGACTTTGAAGACAAGAGTGCAGTTGCATTATAGTCCCCTGCAGCTATGGACTTTCAAGACAAGAGTGCAGTTGCTTTATAGTCCCCTGCAGCTAAGGACTTTGAAGACAAGAGTGCAGTTGCATTATAGTCCCCTGCAGCTATGGACTTTCAAGACAAGAGTGCAGTTGCTTTATAGTCCCCTGCAGCTAAGGACTTTCAAGACAAGAGTGCAGTTGCATTATAGTCCCCTGCAGCTATGGACTTTCAAGACAAGAGTGCAGTTGCATTATAGTCCCCTGCAGCTATGGACTTTCAAGACAAGAGTGCAGTTGCATTATAGTCCCCTGCAGCTATGGACTTTCAAGACAAGAGTGCAGTTGCATTATAGTCCCCTGCAGCTATGGACTTTCAAGACAAGAGTGCAGTTGCATTATAGTCCCCTGCAGCTATGGACTTTCAAGACAAGAGTGCAGTTGCTTTATAGTCCCCTGCAGCTAAGGACTTTGAAGACAAGAGTGCAGTTGCATTATAGTCCCCTGCAGCTATGGACTTTCAAGACAAGAGTGCAGTTGCTTTATAGTCCCCTGCAGCTAAGGACTTTGAAGACAAGAGTGCAGTTGCATTATAGTCCCCTGCAGCTATGGACTTTCAAGACAAGAGTGCAGTTGCTTTATAGTCCCCTGCAGCTAAGGACTTTCAAGACAAGAGTGCAGTTGCATTATAGTCCCCTGCAGCTATGGACTTTCAAGACAAGAGTGCAGTTGCATTATAGTCCCCTGCAGCTATGGACTTTCAAGACAAGAGTGCAGTTGCATTATAGTCCCCTGCAGCTATGGACTTTCAAGACAAGAGTGCAGTTGCATTATAGTCCCCTGCAGCTATGGACTTTCAAGACAAGAGTGCAGTTGCATTATAGTCCCCTGCAGCTATGGACTTTCAAGACAAGAGTGCAGTTGCTTTATAGTCCCCTGCAGCTAAGGACTTTGAAGACAAGAGTGCAGTTGCATTATAGTCCCCTGCAGCTATGGACTTTCAAGACAAGAGTGCAGTTGCTTTATAGTCCCCTGCAGCTAAGGACTTTGAAGACAAGAGTGCAGTTGCATTATAGTCCCCTGCAGCTATGGACTTTCAAGACAAGAGTGCAGTTGCTTTATAGTCCCCTGCAGCTAAGGACTTTCAAGACAAGAGTGCAGTTGCATTATAGTCCCCTGCAGCTATGGACTTTCAAGACAAGAGTGCAGTTGCATTATAGTCCCCTGCAGCTATGGACTTTCAAGACAAGAGTGCAGTTGCATTATAGTCCCCTGCAGCTATGGACTTTCAAGACAAGAGTGCAGTTGCATTATAGTCCCCTGCAGCTATGGACTTTCAAGACAAGAGTGCAGTTGCATTATAGTCCCCTGCAGCTATGGACTTTCAAGACAAGAGTGCAGTTGCTTTATAGTCCCCTGCAGCTAAGGACTTTGAAGACAAGAGTGCAGTTGCATTATAGTCCCCTGCAGCTATGGACTTTCAAGACAAGAGTGCAGTTGCTTTATAGTCCCCTGCAGCTAAGGACTTTGAAGACAAGAGTGCAGTTGCATTATAGTCCCCTGCAGCTATGGACTTTCAAGACAAGAGTGCAGTTGCTTTATAGTCCCCTGCAGCTAAGGACTTTCAAGACAAGAGTGCAGTTGCATTATAGTCCCCTGCAGCTATGGACTTTCAAGACAAGAGTGCAGTTGCATTATAGTCCCCTGCAGCTATGGACTTTCAAGACAAGAGTGCAGTTGCATTATAGTCCCCTGCAGCTATGGACTTTCAAGACAAGAGTGCAGTTGCATTATAGTCCCCTGCAGCTATGGACTTTCAAGACAAGAGTGCAGTTGCATTATAGTCCCCTGCAGCTATGGACTTTCAAGACAAGAGTGCAGTTGCTTTATAGTCCCCTGCAGCTAAGGACTTTGAAGACAAGAGTGCAGTTGCATTATAGTCCCCTGCAGCTATGGACTTTCAAGACAAGAGTGCAGTTGCTTTATAGTCCCCTGCAGCTAAGGACTTTGAAGACAAGAGTGCAGTTGCATTATAGTCCCCTGCAGCTATGGACTTTCAAGACAAGAGTGCAGTTGCTTTATAGTCCCCTGCAGCTAAGGACTTTCAAGACAAGAGTGCAGTTGCATTATAGTCCCCTGCAGCTACGGACTTTCAAGACAAGAGTGCAGTTGCATTATAGTCCCCTGCAGCTACGGACTTTCAAGACAAGAGTGCAGTTGCATTATAGTCCCCTGCAGCTACGGACTTTCAAGACAAGAGTGCAGTTGCATTATAGTCCCCTGCAGCTACGGACTTTCAAGACAAGAGTGCAGTTGCATTATAGTCCCCTGCAGCTACGGACTTTCAAGACAAGAGTGCAGTTGCATTATAGTCCCCTGCAGCTAAGGACTTTCAAGACAAGAGTGCAGTTGCATTATAGTCCCCTGCAACTAAGGACTTTCAAGAAATGTCATCAAAACAAGATAGTATTTGATATACAAATAGGGACAGTCATTCATGCTAAATCAAATACTTTTCAAGACAAGGCAAAACGAGATTTATCAAAACAAGTGTAACATAGCTTTATTAGAAATACCACTCACATAATTCTTCAAACGTCGGGGGTCAAGCAAGGTCCAAGTCCTACAATCACATGGCAAAGCGTACTTGAACATATTCCTCAAAACAAGTCTAACATGCATGCAAATGATTTTGGAAAACATACTGGGCACCAACCAGGTCTAAGCCGAGGTCCCACACCTTCTCACCGAGGTGCGTTCCCGAGGGCCACATTTACGGAAGAGAGGTCGGGAAAATCTGGGTTTCCCTCTATTGAAGAATCATAAAGAACAGGAGTATGAAAAACATGAGAAGTATAAATGTTCAATTTCAACTTGTTATCACAAAATCTGGGATTTTCATGCTACGAGTTTGAAAACATGGACCTGGGTACCCATACTTGAAAATTATGCGAGAACAAACACAAAACATGAGTCTAAGCAAAAGCTTTCGGATCAAAACATGACTTTTCTTGAAGAACACATGAATGTCATTTTTCTCTTTCTAAAGACGAACTTCAAAACAATGCATGGCTTATAAATCATACCCGATCGTGCAATGCAATGACATGAACATAACGAACATCATGAGTAGATCAAGAATCTAACCTTAGAATACGGATCTAGCGGTTCGATTTCTAGGAATCAAGCTTGAAGACTTACTTCTCACTCTAGAACTTCTCTTTTCCCCTAGAGCTTCTCTCTCTAAAAGGCAAGATTATGATACAAAATGATGGGTTCTTTGGCTGGGTTCAGACTTAACCCTCTGCTGGGACACGTGGCAGCGACTGATTGGGTTTCCTCAAAAAGGTGGCTGACAGGCCAGACAAGCATGGCGAAAGGGGGTTCAACAAGTAAAGCGGTATGGGCTCTCTGACGAGGCAGTGACATCGGCTAACAATGAGACTTCGGCAACTAAGGTGACAATGACCTCGGCTAGGAAGGACAACACTTGACTAAGCTGTGCCACACCTTGGCCTAGATGTGCCACACCTCGGCCCAGGTCATACCACTCCAGGACGAGATCACTTGAGTGCAAAGGTAACATCTCGGCCAATGGGTCAAAACAAGGACGGAGGTCAACAAAGGGGTTCCA